AAAAATATCATTCAAATTTTAAACATTTTCGTCTTACTTGAAAACTTTCATTCCAAGAATGGGGTATCTCTTCTTATTTGAACTACACGTTAGAGATGGAATGAAAGTATGGATGAGTTCATGAAATATTTGAATTAGACTGTCATTCTATGTAAGGATTTTCAGTCATAAATAGGTTAATCCAATATAAATTGGAAGATATTTGTTGTAGTAGAATGGAAGTTTAATTAAAACATTTCATAAACTCGTTCAGACTTTCATTCCATCTTAAACAAATAGACGTAATTAGAAGGGAAAACTCATATTTAGACAATAACTTATCAAATAAAAATAAAAATTTTAGAATTAGACGAACATTATAATGATAATAAATATGAAGAATTTTTTTTTAATGGAATATTTTTTCAACTTTCATTTCTTGTGGGAAATTTTCTGTTGGGTGGAACATATTATTTAAACCGCGGTCGATGGGGATGAGATTGCTATTCTAGTCTCATTCCAACAATAAATTTTCATCGAATGCAACCCTGACGTCAATCAAGATATTGTTAATTATGCAAAACGTGATGAACTGTTGAGGAAGGTTGTCCATATTTGTCTTGTAATGACGAATGAGCAAGCTCCACATTCCCTTCAGTCGTCCGAAAACTCTCTCCATCACCCCCCTTACCGTCTTCTGCTGCGTGTCAAACAATGTCACGTCCCCCGTTTGGTCCAAGCCTCCATTCGGGATGATAAGCCACGTGTGTGGAGCGTATCCATTGTCCCCCACAAGGTATCTTGTCATGTGCACCACTGTGGGAAACAAAACCCCTTCGGCGTTGAACAACTCGCCAGGTTCCGCATGTTTGAAGAGGTAGGAATTCTGCAGAACTCACTGGTGATGTACGATTCCCGGGTAGTCGACGAAGACGTCAAATACCCGCATGTCGGGGTCGAAGATAACCTGTGTCACCACCAAGAACCGCTGCTTTCAGTCGAAATAGTTCTCGGACGGTGCATGTGATCTTCTTCGGGTACGCAACCAAGATTATGTTTGTAATGTCTATGACGACCTTGATTCTGTAAGACCTACCGATGCCAAATGAAGACGTGCTATTCTTGAATGTCTTGCCTGATACCCACCTGTATAGCGCATATGTGACGTGCAACCTCACTCCCTGTGCTGTCTTCCGTTCGGAGTGTTAGGCATGCGGAAAGAGGCCCAGAAAAACAGCAAGATGGGGTGTGCCAAGGATTTTTGAAAATTGAGTGTGGGGACACAGACGGAACTGAAATCCCCCCGTGTGGGTCCGATGAAGCAAGTCGATCGTTTTTCACGTATCGCGGAACGCTCGCGAACAAGGCGGGAGGAGGGAAGAATCCAAATTCAATCCAAAAAATATTGTCGCGCTTCCCACCGGGCTACGGCCCGTCGTTTAGAACGGAAAGGCTTTGGCACGCTTCGCGTGTCCCGTTTCCGTATCAAGTCTCGTCGTCGTTCGTTGGTTAGTTCCGAGTCTGACGTGGACGGTCTCAACCGTGTGGCTCTCTCCTTGTGCTCGTTTTCACTCCGTATCCGGTAGTGAAAACCTTTCGATTCGTAGCGATCGAAACGCTGGCACTCAGTGCACAAGGTTTGAGGCCAATGAGGCGCCACTGCCGTCCACGGAATGACGATCAATTCGTTAAATGGGAGCAGTATCGAGTAGGGTGGGAAGTGGGTATCGATAATAACAAAGCCCGCATCTACGAATCCAAAATAATGATTTTCGGGAGGGAAGAAGTATTGTCCGCCGATTCGTGCGACGGCTTMTCGTACGTCCCACTCACATACACGTGTCCTTTCCTCGTTATGGGGAAAAGGYCGTGTCGTAATGGGGGATACGGGAGGCTGGCGCCTGATCGGAGGGTACTGGTCAGTCCACATATCAATCAATTGCAAAGACCTTGAGAGGTCATCAAGGGAAGAAAAACGCTCGCGCAACTTACAATCAATCCCTTTCGATACGAGAGAGAGAGTGAAAAGAAAGTGYCTCCTCAGCTTGAAGCATGCATATAGCCGAGAGATCTATTYGTGGCTCRGGTTTAGTGAGCCAACGCGGCRTGTGGTTCGGCTGCTGATGTCGTGCAGCATAAGGCRGATGGCATGCGCAACTCTTTCAWAGCTACAAATCTAAACACTCTTGCATTCTCRAACAAAATCCTGACGACGGTCGTCTAATCAACACGAAAAAGAGTCRCACATTTCCATACATGCATTCACTGTGGAAGGTGCAAAAATGAGACATGCACCGGAAAAAGATGGGTCGTATTGCACAGTACACACACATCCACCGTTCACAAGACAAGAAGGCGGGGTCCTTGCGTAGGAGGATTACCAAGGAAACTAATGGAATAGTTCCGGAAGAAGTTCTTTTAAGCAAGGGAAGCGCACCAATTCGCTCCGACTCAGGAGAGAAAGCGAGAGACATTCAATCGAGACACATCATTATTCAAAAGTAGATAAATGAGAGGGGGGGGGAGGAGGAAAGAGAGTCGAGATAGGTGATGACCAGATCTGGAAGAGACACATTCGACATGACCGCCATGCACTCACGCCAAAGATAAAGATCCGCAACAACAAAGGCGCATTCGCCGTTAATTCCAATATGGCCCCGGGCCAATTACTCACTCAACTCCAATCATAGATCCTCATACCCGCACCGACGATCCCGACCGCCGCGTGCTAACTCCCACCATTGCGATCGTCACCCCGCTGTCGTAAACTCGACGCGGTTCGCCCAGATCCCACAGTCCGTCGTGGCGATCCAACGCCCAACCGGCCAGCCTATCGTCAACCCGACAGGACTTTCCGACTCGCATCAACACACTGTGCCTAGCCACTGCTTCCCTGAAGCTGGCTTAGGAGTCGAGAACGTAAGAGAGATTTGCGGGCGCGCTTGCGGGTTTTATAGTTGCGAGAAAGGAGATGGAAGGGAAAGAGAACGACGGGAAGGCGGGGGTGTAGGAGGAGAAGGAGAAGAAGACTTTGAGAAGAGCGCTTCGAGAATGCCATGTTGATCCCTCGGAACTCAAGGTTTAACCAATCAGATTCGTCGCGCGATAGGAAGGTCCTATCAATTCACGCACCTAATTGGCGAGCGGGAGTTATCGGGGGATCGACCGGACGTCGTACGCCAGACTCAGAGGGTGAGAAGAGAAAAGGCGCGAGAGGTGGCGCAAGACGGGCCCAAGATTCAGACGATCAAGAAAGGGAAGTGGGCGCGCAAACAGCAAGACGGGAGAGGGGGAGGAGAGAAAGAAACAGTTACGGGGAGAGAGAAAGAGGAGGGAGAAGGAAAGGGAGCGCGGGAGGGAGCGCGGGAGGAAGCGCTACAAGGGGCCAGAGGGGAGGAAGC